CCACTGGAGCAAGATGGGGAAACCGAGGCCCACGCAGGGAGGGTCTTGCCCTGGGAGCCACCTTCAGGGAGTCTGTGCTTGAAGCCCTTCCTTTGCGGACATGTATGGAGAGAGTGGTCACCGGTCACTGCTGCTGCCGCCTGCCCGCCGCCTGCCCTGCTCCCTGGGCAGCGCGTGCCAGGGCGCAGGGGCTGGTGCTGTCCAGCTGGTGGGACGTGATCACGTTCTTAAAAAAGGCAGTCCAGTCAGGAGAGGGTGGACGTAGCATGGGGAAGGAACGTGGGCAGCCAGCAGGGCAGGCGGGCTCGACTGGGGGGACTGGAGCTCGCAGGCTGGGGGGAAACGCCCTGCGCCCGACTTCGGGTGCCGGCACGCTCGCACCTCGGCCCCACGAAGCGCCTGGAGCCTGGGGCGGGCCGAGCTGAGCGGCACACACCAGCGCCACTCGCCGGCACCTTCCCGCCCTGCAGAGTCCTCTTGGAGAGCTAAAAATACACTTTCTTTTCTGAGACAAGCGTTCATTTTGTAAATTACATACCTTGGTCGTCAACCTTTTAAAATCTAATTTTTCAACTTTCCTTCCTCTGTAACGATGGGAAATTCTGATTCTAGTTAAGTTAGTAATTACGTGGTTTGGCTTTTATAATTTTTAATGACTGCAATGTAGGTGTATTCACAGTTCCGGAACGATTAAAAAGTGACATTTTTATTGAAAAAGAGACTGTACCAAAAATCCTATTTCCTGGCCAAGAGTACTTTGGGGCCCAGACATTCCCTCTGGGCACCTCCAGGAGCCTCACAGCACGGCAGGTGGGGACAGCCCTTCAGGAAGGCCTAGAGTCAGGGCTGCATGGTTTGGGGAACAGCGGGAGGGCCGGCATCAGGTCTGCAAGAGAAGCTTAGTGAGTGCTTGGCTCAGGCCGAGCCCTGGAGGGTGCGTGCTGGGCCGGCAGGCGCCTCCCACCCAGCTGTGACTGCACTCGTGTGTGCACGTGCGTGTGGCCAGCATGAGGCCTCATGACAGCAGGATCAGGTGCTGCATGTCCCTGCCATGTCCTGCGGGGCGGGGACTCCTGCGTCCCAGCACTTCCCTGAGCCACCGCCCGGGCCTAACGTGGCTCTGCCCCTCCTTCCCCTCCCACTCATGGACGCAGGGAAGACCTCGGGTTTAGGTTCATCTCCGAGCAGGTCAGCCACCACCCGCCCGTCAGTGCGTTCTACTCAGAAGGGCTCCACCACGACTTCCTGTTCCACGGCTCCATCTACCCGAAGCTCAAGTTCTGGAGAGAGCGTGGAGGCGGAGCCCCGGGGGACCATCACCCTGGAGCTGCTGGCGTGAGGGTGGTGGGGGAAGGCAGCGTCCTAGGCCTGGGCGCCCCCTGTACGGCTGTGTCCTTCCTCTGCGATCATGGCCGGCCCTTCCGACAGCCAAGACTTTCCCAATGAGACACCTCTTGGGATGGGGTGCTGTGTGGGGGGGTCCTTCTCCCCCGACGGGGGTGGAATTGCCCTTCCTCCTGGCACGGCGGAGCACTGCGGGCCACCCTGGGGTCTGCTTCCTGGCTGGCCCCGACCCTGGCAGACCTCTGTCCCTGGCCACGGGCCCCTCTCCGGGCTGCTCACACGTGGCAGCCGGTGTCCCAGTGTGCGAGGCCCTGGGAGAGGGTGGCAGCTCAGGGCCAGGCAGACAGAGCGTGGGGCCTGGCGTTGGCGCTCAGCCGAGATGCCCACGGTGAGTGTCATGGTGCAGCCTCTGCAGCGTGGGGCGGGG